ATTTTACTGTTACTCCACTCCGATGCCATCAGAAAGGAGCACTTCCAATTTCTGCTCTAATTACTGAGAAATTATTTACTTCCATTATTACTCTCGGCATTGAACATGGAACACGGATATTGGTTTTTGTTGTGTTTTCAATTTTTTCCCCCTTGACGAAAGGAATCTAAAAAAATTAAACTTTATTTTCCATCCAGCTCTTCTTTCTTGATCCAGGAACATTTGAGATTATCATTAATGCTGGGTCATTTCTAACTCAGCCAACACAATTGTTGAATTTGTGGTTTTCAGCAGATTTGCAGTTTGGCTTTTCATCTTTGACTAATGATTGCTTGTAGGCCTTTGTGGCATATTTATTTTCCTAACATTTGAAATAAATAGTGAAATGTCATGGAAACCAGTGCTTGTTTCTTTCTCTCTCTCTCTCTCTCTGTGCATTTTAGTTGTTTTTCTGCAACTATGATTTCAGTGGCTTAGGAGTGTGCAATACATATGTACATTTGGACTTGGCCATTATAATGGGCAGATTGACACAGATGTTGGGGAACCTTCCAAGGAGGATTTGGTAAGGTTATGGAGAAAGAACAGTCAATTCATTTATTCATTCACTCATTTGTGTATTTTGTCCGTGAGTTTTATTGAAGTCTTGTGATGTGCCAAGCACCAGGTATACCTTGGTCGCTATCACCAAAAAGACAGCTGGATGTTGGCTGAGTGGGACAGGGATTAAATGAGTAAGAATGCCATGAGCATATGCTTATAACGGGTATATAAATGCGGTATGTCAGTGGTGACATTTGTTAACATCACCACCTCGTCAGCAAAGTCTTTAAGTATCGAAAAGTTTTCAGGCTTGTGGGAGTAAATACAACTTTTCTGGAATTCTGAGTTCCCCTGGGAAGCCTGACTTTTTATCGTTATGTGACAAGTGCAGTCTGTTGTTTTCCTTGAAGGGACAAGCTCACCTTCTTTGTTTTTGGGAGGATGTTTGCTCGACGCACGCATAAAACAGCTAGTTCACTCCTTCACGCCAGCCCCCGCCCTAGTGCTTTTCCTCAAGAACACCGTTGTGCTCACTCCCGCAGCCGGCACGCTTCCTGCCGTGTTGTTTTGGCTTGGTTTGCCGGGGTGTCCGTCAGTGAAACTGACATTTGAAGAACATTTTATATTTATTTATGTGTTTTAACCTGTGAGTCTGTGATGGTGAAGGCTGCAGTAACTAGTAGGATGGTTGGCCCACTGCCCTGGCTTCTGCTAGGGCAGCAGTTTTATCCATCAGTGTACACACTCAGAAGGCAACTGATGTTTTAGTATTACCCTAAAAATAGTTTTGATCTCATGGACCCCCAAGGAGAGGGCAGACCACACGTTGAGGCCTGCTGCTTAGTCTTTTGTTCAACAGGCATTTATTGAAAATTTCCTGTGGATTAGTTCATGGGAGAGATGTTCAATGCACAACCTTAAGACATGCTAAGGTCTTTCTAAATTTTACTTATTTATTTATTGATTTGAGTGAGAGAGAGAAAAGGGTAGGGGGAGAGAGAGAGAGAGAGAGACATCAATTTGTTGTTGTACTTATTTTATGCATTCATTGGTTGGTACTTGTATGTGCCCTGACAGAGGATTGAACTTGCAGACTTGGAGCATAGGGATGACACTCCAGCCACCTGAGCTACCTGGCCAGGGTCTGGCACAGAACTTTATTTGTATCATTTCATTGAATCCTAGCAATCCAATGAAATAAGTGTTAGTGTCACCCCCATTTTGCAGATGGACCAACTGAGACTGTAGTAGAGCAATATCAGCAGGGTCTGGCTTTGAACCAGACTCTGACCCAGACCTCTTAGCCTTTCCACCATGCTTCCTGGCAACATGGGTTCCTTCAGCGTACTGCTTACAAGGAACAGTTGAATAAGTAAAGCTTCGTGCGAGGAAGTCTTTGTTTCTTATTAATAAGGCTCCACATTGTCTTCCCGTTCCTTCCAATTACTATTCTTCTGGCCAAACACTCCCCAGAGAGGGCAGGATGGGGCAGGATTCAGTCCAAAACTCACAACAGAGTCCAGCGAGCCCCCAGGGACATCACTGCTAGGTCCTTGCGGAGTCTTCTCACCGTCCACCCCTGCCTCAGCTGCCCCGGAGACGCCCTGCCCAGGCCTCGGGGTGCATTTTGATGAGTTTAAAGAAAAACAACAACAATGATAATCAAAACAAATTCAAACTGCATGGGCCCTAGGGGAAAAGAGAAAAAATTCAGGAAAATTGGATACCTCCTAATTCATTCTTTTGCAGTCATTAAAAATGTTAAAAATAGCTATACTTAATATAGAATGCAGAATTCCTAGAGGATTTTCTAGACACTTAAAAAATTTAAATTTCTAAACTGGAGTCTTTATTCAAACTTTATCACCATAGAAAGGTTTTCATGATTTACGATTTTTATGATATCTATACACACCAAAATAACTTAATCTTTTACAAATATTACCAAATGTGACTATTCTCTCCCAAGGTGAGACACCACTTCTCTGATTAATAGCCTGCTTCTTAGGGTTACCTAAATATGTCTATCGAGATCTGTTTCATGCATACTTTGCAATGGTTTGTATCTCATAATTACAGCACCCAGATTTTCTTCAAGGGCATGCCAGCAACACATATCCTCCAAGTTAAAAATTATTCCTATCTCCATCTACGCTCTTTTGGGGAAAAAACCATCAAGCTTGCATGCTAGTATTGGAGCCCACCCACTAATATATGTGATGAGGGCCAGTCAAGTCCCTCCTCTCAGTCAGGTAGAAGTCACTGCTAAGCAGAGTGGCCAGGGTGATGCCAGGGGAAGTCCAGGGTGCTCTGGGGTCACAGGGAATCTGAGAAGGCTTCCTGGAGGAAGAAACATCTAAATGGAGGCCTGAAAAGTCAAGCTGGAGTGAGACAGGAAAAAGAGAAGGCAGAGGAGAGTTCCAGGCAGAGAGAAGAGCATAAACTCAGACGAGCAAGCACGGCCTCTTCAGGGAACGGTGGGGAGCAAAGCTCTTGTGAGTTGCTGGTGAGAGACGAGGCTCAGGAGGTGGCTGAGGCCGGTTTAGGGACAGTCTCACAAACCACATTAAAGAATTAGAACTTTGTCCTGAGCCGAGCAGGAGCCATTCAAGTATTTTTAAGCAGGGAAGCAACTTTTTTTTTTTTTTTTTTTTTAAATGGCAATAGGATAAAGATACAGACAAAAAGGAAGAGGGATTTTTCACTTCTTTATTTTACATAACTTCAAGATGGTAATATGTATCACTGTTGTAATAGAAATAAAACCAACAAAGCCATTTTCATTTTTAGTATTTTAAAAACTCACCCTGGTAAAAGACCTAAACAGACACCTCACCGAAGAAGATCAGCGGATGGCAGGCAGGCATGTAAAAAAGATGCTGCACATCGCCAGCCACTGGGGAAAGGCAAATTAAAACAACAGTGAGATGCTACCACACGCCTACTGGAACGCTTTAAGCCCGGAACACTGACCACATCAAATCCTGGCATGAATGTGGAGCAGTGGGAACTCTCATTCACTGCTGGTGGGAAAGCAAAATGTCACATGCAAAGACAGGCTGAGGGTGAGGGATGATGGTCTGTGTTTTGGTTTGGGTCCTTGAGTAGATAGAGAAGCTGCTCCCAGAGATGGGCAGCAACGGACACCCAGCTGCTTTTTCTGTGGTGACATGTCAGCCTGTAAGGCGGCCATGTTTCATAGAAATGGAGTCATACAATACGTGGTTCTTTGTGGCTGGCTTCTTTCACTCAGCATAATGTTTTCAAGGTTCATCCATGTTGTGGACTGGATCAGTACGTCATTCCTTTTTATGACCAAATAATATTCCATTTTGTGGACATATCACATTTTATTCACCCATTTATTCATGATGGACATTTGGGTGGTTTCTACTTTTTGATGAAGAATGCTTCTATGACTGTATGTGTTCAAGTTTTTCTGTGGTTATAAGTTTCCTCTTGGATATACAGTTTCTGGGTCGTATGGTGACCCAATGTCTAACATTCTAAGGAAGTACCGGTCTGTTTTAACAAAATGCCCCTCAATCTCTAGTAAAAAGTTTTTTTGGAGAGGTTTTAAAGTCTATTTTATTTGATAATAGTATAGCAACTTAAGCTTTCTTATACATATTACTTGCCTTTCAGAAAGGATGATTTTATACTAAATGCATAACTAATATATTATTAGTTGTGCCTGTTTTAAACTTTATAAAAATTGTGCCACACTATAAATGTCTTCTTGGACTTGCTGTTTTTATTCAATATGCTATTTCTAAGACTTGCCTATGCTGTTTCATGTAGCAGTAATTCACTTATGTTCACAGCTGTATAATATTCCACGGTATAACCCTACTATAATTTATCCATTCTTCTGACAATGATATTGGGCATGGTTCTAGTGTTTTGCCACTATAGATTTATTGCTGCTATGTATAACCTTCTCCACATCTCTTGATTTGAGAGTTACTCTGTTCTCAAAGTGAACAGCAGCATTGGCTCGGAACTTGCTAGAAATGCAAATTCCGGAGCCCTATCCCAGACCCACTGAATCAGAAACTCTGGGGGTGGAGGCCAGCAATCTGTGCTGTCTCAAACCCTCCAGGTGGTTCTGATGACATAGTTGGAGGAGGGACACTGCTCTAGGGAGGGACACTGCTCTAGGGTATAAACGCAGAGTAAGTTTTCTGCATCTCAGGCAACCAATTGTTTTCCAAAGTGGTTGGCCCCCGTTACATCCCTATGGACACACGCCCAGCTCAGCACTTAGGGTTGTCAGATTTCTTTATTGTGCCCACTGAGTGGGTCTGTCAGACTGGGCTCCACAGAGAGGCATGGACACGGTGGTTTCTCCTCCCTTGGTCTGGGGCGTCCTGTTTCAGAACCACAGCCGTACCACGCCTCAGCAGCTCGCCGTCACCATGGAAAAGCCTCTCTTCTCTGTGGGTTTGTTTTGCCAGGAGTACATGCACCACCTGCTCCGTCTGGAGCGCCGGGCCGAGGAGCAGTTCCTGGAGCACTGGCTGAACCCTCACTGCAAGCCCCACTGTGACAGGAACTTGGTCCATCCCGTGTAAGGGGCTCAGGACCAGCCTCCGGTACGTTCCTTCCTCCAGGCCTTCTGATTTAGGGGGATGGCGGTGGACAGCATGTGCGTGGGCCCAGAGGCCCTCTAGAACGCGGCGATGGGGGAGACAGCTAGTTAGCTGGATAAAGGTTGTGGGGAGGAGAGAGCAGGACAGAAGAGATAAGTGGCAGCCAGGCTGCGAGGGGCCCGGGGGGACGCACAGGGGAGCCTGGCCCCCGATGACTCACTAAGAGATCCCCGGTAGGGGAGGAACGTGAGCCTATTTGCTGTCTAGAAAAGGTCACTCTGGAATACAGATCTGGACAAGTGTACCTTGTTGAGACTTGGGTCTGTTCAGGTTGGGTGAACAGCCATGGGCTCATCCATCCCAAACCTCACCACGGTCACCAGGTGCAGTGACTTCTTTACTGCCTTCCCAGAGCCCTCCAGGCTGGGGACATGCCTCATCCTCTTCCTTTTCCTCTGGGTTTAGTCTTTCAGTCCCCCAACAGGACTGTTCAGCATTCTCAGCACGCGTGCGTGCTTCCCCTCCCCCATTCCTACAGGAGGAGGCCGTTGGAGTCTTCCCTCCCCCTTTCCAAATCCTATTACATAAAGTAGCAAATCCCTTCAGAGGCTAAGCCTAGTGAATATCAGTCCTCCTTTGTCACTTGTATGGAGGAAGCAGGACAGGATAGAATGCGGCAGTTTGTCATCCCTGGTTAAGAGAAATCGAATGTCCTTGCTTTTTTTTTTTTTTTTTTTGTGCTACTGTAAATCAACACAGGAACACTCCCTTTAGACTACCGCTCTTCGTAATTTTCAGGGTGCTTTCACCTAAGTTCTCTCATTTGAGCCTCTTGAGGCACCGGTGTCATGACTAGGCATGCATTTTATAGAGGCGTTACCTGAGCCTGATTAAGTTACAAATTCGTTCTAGGCGGTCATTGGAGTGGTCATTGGAACCGCTCCAGTTCCAAACCCTTTATGTGGACGGTACCGCAGGGTCCTCTGTGAGTGTGTGTGTGTGTGTGTGTGTGTGTGTGTGTGTGTGTGTGTGTGTGTGGGGGTGGGGACTACAGTCCTCTGAGGACTTCCAGCCTCTGGAGCCTGTTCTAGGTCAGAGCTTGCCGTCCCCCTTGCACCGGGGACCTTGGTCTCCTGCGCTGAAAGTCCTTGCTTGGCTTCTTCAGAAAATGGAGCTGTGGAGTAGTTAGGAGCTCAGACTCTGGATTCGGTTAGACTTGGGTTCAGCTCGCTGTGTTCGTGCTCTGTGTGGCCTTAGGCAAGTCACCTACCCTCTCTGAGTCTCCATTTCCTCATTTCTAAACTGGGGCAATGGTGGTATCTATGGAGCCCGGCGCATAGCAAATGCCTCGCTGACTGGAGGCGCGTCTTACCATGGTGCAGGCCAGGCAAGAGGCGAGGTGTCGGGGGTGAATGAGCCCCGGGGCAGCACCCTCCAAAGGGCGACTGAGGCCTTTGCCTCCGGGCAGTATAGGCCATGCTGTTGAGCTGGGGGTGGGGTGGGGTGGGTCCTGGAAAACACAGGATTCCACAGAGGGCTTACTCCAAACAGCTCCACTTGCACAAAAACAAGGAAGCTGGAGGGACATGTCATCTTGGAAATGGGAGTCTGAAAGCATTCAGATCATGACTCTACTTGGGAAAAATGGCCCAACGTCTCTCCCAGTCTCCTCATCTGTAAAATGAGAATAGCGAGAGCTCCTTCCTCCTGTGCTGGTTCTGAGCATTAAAAAAGTCAATGCATGGGCCCTGGCCAGTGTAGCTCAGTTGGTTGGAGTGTTCTTCTATAACCAAAAGGTTGCAGGTTCGATTCCCGGTCAGGGTACATGCCTAGGTTGCAGGTTTATTCCCCGGTCCAGGTGTATATGGGAGGCAACCATATGCATATGGTTGTCAACCAGGTGCATATGGGAGGCAACTCTCTTGAGTAGATGTTTATTTCTCTCCCTTCCAATCTCTCTTGGAAAAGAAAGAAAAGAAAGAAATGGAAAATTGTCCTTGGGTGAGAATAAAAAGAAGTCAATGCATGGAAAACAGCGCTGCCCTGGTACATCATAGGATATGCTCAGGAAGTGGCAGCTCAGTGGCTGTTTCCTCCCTCTCCTCCTCCTCCTCCTCAGTCTCCGCTGTCTCCTCCCCGGCTTCTCTCCCCTGCTCCTTTTTTTTTTTTTTTTTTTTTTTTAACGTAACCTCATGTTAACATAATTTTCTCTCTCTTTTCCAGAAAGCCCTTTGATGAGCATGGGCCTGGGTAATGCTGAGACAGGATGAAGGTCCTCTTTCACTTATTTTTTCAGCTGCGGAATTGGATGTCTTCAGACCTTTCGAACTGTGGCCATGGCAAAGGTTGCCTTGGGGATTGCCGGCGAATGTATGTGCTGCTTCATTTTACTAACCTGCATAACTCACTGAAACCAATAGCTTAAAGCACAGACTGCCCCTCCCCACCATGGTCTTCCTATCAGGCTGGAAGGGTGGGCGGAACGGGAATCTCGCCCGCGGCTGATGGAACTGGACTTCCAGAGCATGGGGACAGGCTATCTGTACCACCTGGGGCTGTGGAGGGTTTTGGTCATCTTCTGCTTCCCTTCGTTTCTGCTGCAGTAAACATTAGTGTTCAACCTGCTTCCTGTGGTGTCTCCTTTCCTTTCCCTCCATGAGGAGAAGTAGTGATCCCCCCATTGTTTACCTTTGTGAGTCCAGAATCAGAAAACTCACTGTTCTGGGAATAGATGTGTGAAAATACAAACACCCAGCAATTTTTCATGAGAGGCAATTTTTTTTTTTTTTTTTGGTAAAGAGATGACTTATGCCAGGTCAGCTCTGGAAACAGAGCCATGACTTGCTACCAGGTGCCCACACTGGGCTTCCGGCCAAGGAAGGTGGGCGGCAGCCCCTGGATCCCCAGGGCGCCTCACCTGCCCACAACCCCCAGAATCAAAGGCTGGGCTATCCAAGACCAACGAAAGCAGAAATGGGAGGGTAAGGGAGGGTAAGAGGAAGGGTCTTAGGGAGAATCTGGCGTCCTCAAAAAAAGGTAAGAAGAGATGCTCATACCTCCTGAGCAACAGGGGGAGCGCCTGTCCCAAGGGAGCCCAGGTGGGTTTGTCCAGGAGGAAGTTACGGAACTTCTCAACAATGATGATACCAATATTTATTTTATGTGCACTCTGAGCCAAACCCTGTGCTAGGATTTTTTACGTACAGTAAATATAATCATTGCACCTATACTGTGCGGTAGCTGTGGTCATTATGCTCACTTTATAGGTGGGGAATCTGAGGTTTACAGAATTTAGACAGTGTACCAGTTTTCTATCTGGGCTATAACAAATTATTGGAAACTTAGCAGCTTACAGCAACACGAATTTATTATCTTACATTCTGGAGGTCAGAAATCCAACATGAGTTGCATTGAGCTAAAATCAGGCTGTTGGTAGGGCTGTGTTCCTCTCTGGAGGTTCTGGGGTGAATCTGTTTCCTTGCCTTTTCCAGCTCCTAGAGGCTTTCCGAATTCTCAGCTTGTGCCCCCTTTCCCCCATCTTCAAAGCCAGCCATGTCGGGTTGAGTCCTCAGATCATGTCTCACTCTGATGGTCTCTTCTGCCACCTTCTCCCCTCTTTGTAAACCTTTGTGATTACATTGGGCCCATTCAGATAAGCCAGGCCAATCTCTCTGTCTGCAAGTCAGTTGATTAGCAACTTTAATTCCACCTGCAACCTTAATTTCCTCTACCATGTAAGAGAACATATTTATAGGTTCCAGGGATTGGGCTGTGGGTGTCTTTTGGAAGGGGGCATTATTCTGTCTACCACGGGCAGTTCATTCAAGTTCATGCAGCTGGTAGGTAGAGGAGCTGGGATTGGAGCCCAGGGAGGTCCTCATGTTCTGGGCCCCTCAAATGCTCTGCACCTGTGTCCTAAACCGAAAGTCCTTCTGCTTTCAATTAAGTGGTTTGTTCAACTGTGTTTCAAGGGCTCTGGATGTGTCTTCACTGACACCATTGCGGTCTCACCTCATGGGGGCATTAGTTGTGTGCCAGACCCATTCCAAGAAAAAGAAATAAAATTAAATTAAATTTGACAACTCAATTTTTGTGTGGTTCAGTTTTCAGGTGGTTCAAATCTCTCTTTTTCTCATTTAATTAAATGCGGGCCCTGCCTTTTCTCTATCCTTGTCCTGTTCAGGTTCTTCTCTTCTCTGGCGGTTTAATAGATAACAGCAGTCACCTGGGGCCAGCAGGGAGCTTGCTGGCCATGCAAATTAGCAGGCCCTGCTTAGACCTTCTGAATTAGGAACTCCGGAGCTGCGGTCCAGCAAGCTGTGCTTCAGTGAGCCCTCCAGGCGATGCTGAGGCACTTGAGAGTTTGAGAGACACTGGGCGACAGCTTCCTGGAGCTACCTGGCATTGTGGAAAAACTCAAGGCAGAGTTGAGCAGCCTGGGTTCTGGCCCAATCTATTCACTTCCCCAACAAATATGGTGTTAGCATCTACTGTGTGCCTCCTACTGTTCCAGGTCCTAAGAACCCAGAGATCCAGAGATGAGCAAGATGGACAAGGCTGATTTTTTTTTAAAGTTGTAAAATTTATATAACAAAATTCATGACTTCAAATTTTAAAGTATAGAATTTAGTGGAATTCAGTACAGTCAAGTGCTAATTATGATATTTCGATCAGTGACAGACCACACACATAATGGTGGGGGCACAAGATTATAATGAGCTAAAAAGTTCCTATAGTCCTGTGACATCATAGCATCATAGCCGTCTTAAGATCATAGGGTAACAATGCATTACTCATGTGTCTGTGGTGCTGCTGGTGCAGACAAACTTACGACACTACGAGTCCTATACAAGTGCAGCACATACAATTACAGTAGTAGGCTATACCATCTATGGTTTGTTAAGTACACCCTATGATGTTCACACAACGATGAATTGTCTAACGATGTGTTTCTCAGAATGTGGATACTGTTGTTAAGTACTACCTGACTGTTGGGTAACCGTCACCACTACCTAGTTCCGAACATTTCATTGCCCCCCAATGAAACCTCTAATTTCTCCCTTCCAGCCCCTGGCAATCACTAGCCTGCTTTCTCTCTATATGGGTTTGCCTATTATGGACATTAGTGTAACTGGATGACACAATAGGTGGTCTTTTGTGTCCTGCTTCTTTTATTGAGGGTCTTTTTTTTTTTTTTTTTTCCTGCAAAAAGCTTTACTGTTTCCATTTGATCCAATGCATGGGAGAGGGCTTTGGGGTGCTTAAAAAGATGCCTAGTGGGTTTTGGGAGAGGCTCAGGCAAGAGCCAAACACCAGGGGAATGCAGAAGGGGTCTCTTCAAAGGCCTCTGGTATCCAGAGGTTGCTAGTTGTGCTTGAGGGTGAGCCTTTCAAAGAGATACTCACCCAGCCGCACCCGGGGCCTGGCCAGCCTGCAGAGGTGAGTCAAGTGGTCGCCCATCTTCTTGATGAGTTTCACCTCTTCATCCAGGAAGTGGTTCTCCAGGAAGTCATAGAGAGGAGGGTCTGTGTGGGTAGAACCCAGGGCATGCGGACCCCAAAGGGCTGGTTCACGTTCTTCTCCAGGGCCATGGTGGCTCCCATGATGTCCTGAGCCTCACCCCACTTACTGTGGGGTGGCTTCAGCACATCCTGGAAGAGAACAAAGCCCCAGTGCTGGCTTTGCATCTTGAAGAGACGCTCGGCTCCCTCTCCCTTCTCCTTGGCCAACTCGCAGAAGAAGTGGCCCACGCTCTCCAGAGCCACGCTGTCCCGGCCGAAGTAGAGGTAGGTGTCGGAGGCCCGCAGATGCCTGTCGCCTAGGCCTCCATCTTGGTGGAATAATTCTGATGCATTTGGGAGCCCATGGTCATTTGGCAATGAGGAGTTAAGGTCAAAGAAAATGGTGTTGGCTGGTCTTGAAGGCTGACAGATGGGGTGGTTCCAAAGATGGTGACTGGAAAAGAGATTAGAGGGTGGTTGGACGCTGGAAGAAAGGTTATCCCTGGGTCTATTGTGTCTAAACATTGTGGAAGCAAGAGACAGATCCAGGGACCCGCCCAGGGCACTGCTAGCATATGTTTTAAAGAGTCATCCATCTTGTAGAATGTATCATACTTCATTCTTTTTTTATGGCTAATATTCCATTATATGGATACACCACATTTTGGTCAACAATTTATCAGTTGATGGACATTTGGACAGTTTCTTTCCACCTGTTGGCTATTGTATTCATTCGGGTACACATTTTTGTTTTGAGTCTTTGTTTTCAATTCCTTTGGATAGATACCTTGGAGTAGAATTTCAGAGTCTGAAAAATTACATGGTAATTCTATGTTTAACTTTTTGAGAAACCACTGAACTCTTTCCTAGAGCAGCTGCGCTATTTTACATTCCCACCAGCATTATACGAGGGTTCCAAGTTCTCTGTGTTTTTGCCAACACTTATTTTTGTTTTGTTTTTCTTCAAATTATAGCCATCCTAGTGAGTGTGAAGGGGTGTCTTATTATGGTTTTGATTGTATTTTCCTTGTGACTAGTGATGTTGAGCATCTTTTCATGTGCTTATTGGCCATTTCTGTATCTTCTCTGGAGAAATGTCTATGTAAGTCTTTTACCTGTTTAAAAATTCAATTATTTTTGTTGTTTAAGGGCTGATGTTTTCTGTAGTGGCTAAGAGCAGAGCTTACTGCGGGTGAGATCTTGGACAAGTTACTGAAACTGTCCTGCCTCCGTTTCCTCCTCTGTAAAATGAGGACCATAGTAGACTTACAGCGAAGGATGGCTGTGGAGATGAAATGACTTAGCGTATGAAGATCTCAGAACTTTGCTTGGCACATGGTAAGTTCGTGCTATGTAATCGATAGCCCTTACTACACATGAGATGAGACTAACAATAGTAACTAAACAAGAAATCACTAGATTAATAACTGCTGGGAAGAAAATACGAGGGTGATGCAATGGAGAGTGACTGGAAGGCTATTTTAGGTTGGGTGGACAAGGAAGGCTTTTCGGAGGAGGTGACACTTGAGCTGATACCGGAATGACAGGAAGGAGCCAACTGCGTGAAGATCCACAGACAGGAAGAACATTCCAGGCTGAGGGAACGGCTAGGCCACAGGTCTTAAGACAGGAACAAACCCAGCCAGTTCAAGCAACTGCTTGAGAGAAGGACAGGGCCTCTGGGGTAGTGATGGGGGGCTGGCTTTCCTGTGTGGGGGTCCTGCTTGTCAGCAAGAGCATGAGAGCACGTGAGCTCTGGAGT